CCATTACTGTGGGTCCAATGATCGGGACAACCAATTATGATGTGAATTGACATCTGCCTTACTGGTGTGTGAAAGAGAAGATGTGTTTGGTGTATTATATGTTAAAATGTGTTTTGTTGTTGTATTTTTGTAGATGTACGATAGTCGTCCAGTGAATGAGCTGACGATAGTGATGATGACGTGGACTTGACCGAGGAGAATGGAGACGGTGGGGACTTCTGTGAGTGATGATTGGGCGTTATTTTCGGGTGAGTAGTGGATGAGTGAGTGGTGTGCGTTGTAATTTTATTGTTTACTGATGATGACTACGAGATGACGAGTGTGAGATGTTGATCAGTGACCGCTCACAACGAGGCATTTGTCTGAAAGTGTGATAGTTGTGTAATTCGCATTTGTACTGATTGATGGATATATACTAACTAGTGATTTGTGTTTTGGTGTTTACATTTTCAGGAACTGAACATGTTGTGGAACGGGGAGATAGATGGTGACGACTGAGAGATGAGGTGAGTGGATGATGGTGGTGTTTGTGATGCATTTGATTTATTACGAGTTGCATATGAATGTGTGTATATGTCTGTAGTGATGGTGAAATGTTATGTGGGATGTGGGAGATGTTGTTGGTGAAAGGAACACGTGTACCCAGAAATACGAGGAAGTGATGACTGTGTTATGTTGAATGGTTCGAAGATGAGACGGTATTTTGAGCCTGTTATTTTGTAGAGGAAACGTTTTTCTGTGGATAAATTTGAAATGATGCAAATACATATCCACCGATTCTTTGATTATCTGAATCGATTGTGATGTGTGCAACACCATCTGATATAGTGCTTTGTTAATTTATATATGCATGTCATTTGTGTTTATTGGAGTAAGAAGATGTTTTTTCTTGTTTGTTTATTGATTGTTTAGGTGAGTGAACGAGTTGGTGTATTGTGTTGTGGAATACATATTGGTGTAATGATGTCAATGAACCATCTTTCGACTGATGACTTTGTCATCTGTTGACAGTGTACAACTGAGGAGTGTGTATCTCATTGTTGTTAATGTTGGGTGTTGATTGTGTGTATATGTTTTGTTGAATAAATAAATAAATATATGGTTAAACGATCGAACTACCTGTGTTTGTTATTAATTGTTTAGTCATGAAGCAATGAATGAAACACTGGAGGAAGGAAGGAAGTACTGAGGGTTGAAGTATTGTACAGTTGGAGAGTGAAGGAAGACAATGAATCATAATAATATGTTTTCTATGATTGTTATTTCACTCACTGTATTTTATTACGTTTATTTTTGTTAATGTCTTATACTTTTTATCTTCTTTAGTTCAATATGTGACTAGATTATAAAATGTGTCATAATTCCGCTAAAGATTTTCCCAGTTTTATATCTAATAATTGTAAATTAGTTTGTCAATGCTTTTAAAGTACAGAAATATATATGCGTTTGTAATTTGTATAAGTTTTCGTCTCTTTGTGAAATAAGTGATAATTTCGTATGGAGTCAATGAATAGCTTACTTATTATTGCATGTTCGTTCACATATTGTTCAGTTTTGTATTTAGGTAATACTAATAATTTTTTTGTTTCAAATCTAACAGCTTCAAGCTTTTATCGATACCAGTGAATTAGATCTATCAATGTTAATTTGTTCTGTAATTCATTTGTTTTGGGTGTGCTTACTTGGTCGATGTGTTTGACTAGGTGCTATTTTTTCACTAATAACGATTTACTAAGAGATAGTTTAAACGCTCATTGAATGAATGTTCATCAATATTTAGTCTAATAAATGAACACGACAAGCAAATTTTTACAATGTTGTTGTTATTACAACTCAAATTCACTTAATAATACAAAATAATTTACTGAAGAGAAAATCCAAGAAAATTGCAGTTTTCGCCTAATTACACTATATTCGAGAAGTTCATCAACGATAGGGGGTGAAGTAGTTGAGCATGTCGACCGTTTCACTTATCTTGGAAGTTTCATAAGCCCTTGTGGTCTGGTGTGCGACAAAATATCAGCACGGATACAGACGGCTCGACTAGCTTTTGCCAACTTGCGTCATTTATGCCGTAGGACGTGTTCACTGCGCAGCTGTTCATTCCGTCTTACTCTACGGCAATGAAACATGGTCGGTAAGAGTAGAGGATATTCGTAGGTTACTAGTATTTGATCATAGGTGTCTTCGAAACATTGCTTGTATATACTGGGACCATCGAGTAAGTAACGAGGTTGTTAGGAAACGGGTTCTAAGTAAGGATGGCAAATCCAATGAAGTGAAACTTCATCAGTTGAGATGGCTGGGATGCGTGTTACGTATATCTAACCACCGACTGCCTCGACGTGCGATGTTTTATGACGTAGGAGTAGGTTGGAAGAAAGCTAGGGACTGCCAAACTAAAACATGACTCAAATCCATGAAGTCACTGTCAAGTAAACTTAGCTATGTTGGTAGGTGTAGACTACCTGGTTGGGGACCGCGAGATTATGGCAACCTTGAATGACATGCTCAAAATCGTTTGCAATGGCGCAAGTGCATTTACTCTTTTTGTTCTCCCGAATTCTAATCTTCTGGATTCTTCATGTCTCTTTTCTTTCTCTTCCCAAATTTACTTCATTGTATTATACTCTTTAAATAACACCTCCAATCTTCCCGATTACTGGATTATACTCTTACATATCCACCACTATGGGATTTGAATCGACCACCGCATCTCTGTGCTAATGTGGTATGGCAATTCGAACTGATGTACGTACGTACGAGGTTCTACGTTGTTACTGATTGACTGACTTATCAACGTTTAACGACAACCGAATATAGATAATAAGTAGAGTGATAGTTTCTGATTCGAAGGAATGCTTTCAAAACTCAGTAACGTAAGTGTTGGATTATCATGCAATAAAAATATAAGCTGCAATTCGTGGGATATTGTCAGGAGTTGTCATTTGCTCAATATTAGTTTCTTCGGTGCACTTTAGTATATGTTCAATGAAAATCAATCAACTATGTAGTGAATGCTTTTTTCAACGAAATCATTGTTTCTCTGTTAAGTTGTTTCTGTCAGTGAGGAAATTAAAGTTTACATATTTCACAATTTTAACTGTTATGTTAGATTTAATATTAGTTGAACAGGAAATATTGATGTTAAAACTAACTTCACGTAGTTTTACAAAATTATTTAACAACAGCATGATTTATTACTTTAACCATCTAAGATATTCCTTAAGTCAACGTCAATAAATAAATTCTGAGAAGAATCGACAACTGTATATGCGGATTCATTAGTGTTAATTGGGAAATAGATACTGGGGCATTTGTGTTATTAGTAGTAATGAGTAGAATTATACCTGCGATTTGTTAGACTTTTACATGGGATATATTTATCGAACAGTATTGTTCCTTAGTATAGTGTAGCCGAATACCAGACCATTATGCATCACTGACTTTTAAGTCTGCTTTTGGAACATTGAATTCTTAAGCATTCCCAATAATCATATAGTTGAATTCAAAGGCGCTTGAAATTTAATTTAGTTACGTATAAGAAATCTTTTGTATTTCTAGTTTCATATAACTTTGTCGGATTAGAAGTTCATGGAAACATTGAATGTACAAATTATGTAGATTATTATCTCAGGAAATTGCGACGAGTATTCATCTTACCTCTATTCATTGTATGTTGAGTAAAACGTTTCGAACATTTTCTGGAGCCCTTATAGACCCTTCCAAGCCTCTCAATTAAATTGATCTCGGAAGACAACTTAGTTTTCTTAATACAACGTGCTTTTTTTAAGAAAAAAGTGAAGTGATAAGAAGTAATTCCACGTATACCTCTTCCTAATATATGTCAAAATGAGATCGAGAGAGTTACAAACTATCTCGTCTAATTGCATTTTCTTACCACTTGTGTGTGTTTATGCATGATTGATTGTAGTAAAATGAACCATCCTGATTATATTTTAAGACAATTTAATCTGATATCAACTGTCAGTTTGAAATAAGACAAAAATATTGTCCTCAATAATTGTTACTATTCTGTTAGAATGATTGCTGATTAAACCTCACTTGATTAGACTATAATGGAAATAGTGATCTATAAAGTTTATTTTTCCTTAGAAATCAATTTTGACGGTTTTAATTTTACCATTGTAATGATAAATGAGCAAGTTTATAAGCGTTTCAATCTTCAAAACTTTCGTATTTTTACGTTGCTAATTGGTTTCATTTAGATGATCAATTGGATATCACGAAACATTGTATAGCTGTTTCTCTAGGATGGGGATTATTCATGTGCTATTCAAACAAAGATCAATTTATAAATTGTGGTTTTCGGGCGAGATATTTACTATGTGTTCTATTGACTCGCGATATCTAGAATCCGTTGTTGGACCGGTTACTCACCTTGTATCAAACATATTTAGACTCCTCTGCTAATGTCTACTTACTAGATTACTGGGAAACTAAATATATATATTAGTTACTGGTGTTCATATTTATTATTTGTATACTAAGTTTGTGGAGATTGTTGAATTTTATAGTTGATATCACAGAATGAACTTGAGTAGTTAACCATTGGAAATCGGACACGAATTTTCACTAGAACTAGAACACCACTGGATGTCATCCAAATTGCTTTAATGTTTAAACGTTCACTAGAAGTCCTGAAGGTTGTCTTTTCAATCTCCAGTGAGGTTATGAATAGTTATTACTGAGCAGCCCCTTACCAGGACAAAACAACTTATCACTGTGTTCTTTCGTTATATATATATAGACATATATATATATAGTAACACGATTTGATTGGTTGTTCGCGGTTGCTAATGCTGTTCAATGACCTGAAATTTAACGTTTATCATATTAAACTTTCTTTTTAAAAACAAAAATTGATATTTGTTTGAATCATTTAGTTATTCAATTTTGCTAATGCAATACACTTCTCTATTTGATAACAATTATCATTATTAGTATTCCTTTAAGAACGAACACATTAGAATTAAACAATGAATGATCTTTTAAAATCTAAAGAAATTATTAATCATCATAATGAATTAGATCTTCTTATTGATGATATAAATAATGATGAAGAATTATCTTCATTAATTCAATGTTTTCCTAAAGAAACTAAACAATTTATATTGAAACTTAGAAATTCACATTTTGATCAATCTAATAATAGTAAAAAGCAAACACATCGATATTTAACAAATTTTGATATTGAAGCACCATTTAGTACATCAACAACATATAGAAATACATTTTGTCATCAAACTACTAATAATACTAATAATGTTAATGAATCATTTAAATTTCAAATAGGTCAACCAATTCTACGATTTGGTGAAATGCCTGTTTTCACTGATTCTATTTTATATCCCGGTCAAAATCGTCGATTACAAAGTACAACACATGAAACATTTGTTGAAAAACCAGTATGTTTCTTTTCTTCTTTTTTTTCTTCATTGATTGTATCATTTCATGATGCCAATTGTGAATGCTTCAATAATGTTTACTCAATATCCCGTATATGTAGTATAGTTGTAGTTCACAGCATTTTCATAAATCTAATACAATGATTTCAATCTGTGAAATTTCTAAAATCTCTACAAAACCCATTCTGATAATAATCAACTGCTCACTAGTGACTGACTTCAGGAAAAACTCCAGAAGTTTTAGTGAGAAGCCGTTACCAGTGGAGTTCAACCAGATCTGTTGTGAGATAGGAACTCACTGAAGACAATGGTGTACGGTGGCGCAACTTCGTGGATTGGTTGAAGTTAGACATTAACACCGTTGGATGCCGGCTCAGTGGTCTTGTGGTTAAGTGCTCGCGCGCGAAGCCAGTAGGTCCTGGGTTCGAGCCCCGCGTGGTGTGGGATCGTGGATGCGCACTGCTGATGAGTCCCATACTAGGATGGAACGACCGTCCAGTGCTTCCAGGTTTTCAATGGTGGTCTAGCTTGAACTGACTCATTATTTCAATCTGTGAAATTTCTAATTATTTGGGGGCTATAAACCTGATTTCATAGATTTAAACTTTTGTATAAGTGAATATTGTCTCATGATTACTAAAATATTCAGTAGTTAAATTATCAAGATCGATACTTATCACATCCGGATATCAAAATAGTATACATAGTAACAGTACTAGTGTTAGTAGTAACTGATATGATTGATGATGAAAATATGGGTTTGGGGAATAGAAAGAAGTCGTTTAACTAATTACGAGATTTCAAAATCTAAAGGAATACAAATAGTAAGTGTGCCTGTGAATGATCTTGTCCCTGTCACCCAAAATCTCTAACTAATGTCTCTAATCCTCAATTTATTTAAAACTTTCAAATCAAAGCTTAATAAAACTACTTTTCTCTAGTTATGGTTAATTTGAAAGTTTAACTAATTACATATGAGTTAATAAATAAACCGTGATTCTATTCGTGTTTATAAGTAAAAAAAAGAGATTGAATTGACTCATGATCTCAACTATTGAAATTACTACCAATCTCTATAAAACCCCTTCTGATACTAATTACGAAAATTTTACAAAACACACATCAATACTGAATTTAGAAATAAATTTAAGTAGTATCATTATTACGAGATAAATTGTTTACGCAGTTCAATAATTAATTTTGTTTCTTTATCAAGGCTTTTCACAATAGAATATTTAAGGTATGCTTTTTAGCCCCCGAATACCCTGGTATGGCCGAGAGTGTGGTGGGCCGGCCTCCCTGTCGAAATGTTTTCACACAGCCACGAGTATACAGCCTCTGTCAGGGAAGTCCTACTCACTGCCTTCTCGTGGCAGGGGTGTTATTTACGATAATGAGAGGACGAAAAGCGAATGTCTGACGCTCTAACCGGATTCCAAATTAATGGTGCACATGGGCTCCAGGATCCTGAGAAAACAAATGGCGTATGAATCAATCGTTGGTCACCGGCTACCATGGGACTGCATCTCCTCACGATGCCCTACTGCCTTGCGGGTCAAACCTTTAGGTCGAAGGCTCGGGGTATGGCCCCCTAAAATAACCACCCGAGCACTATCACAGCCCTCACACAAATCGAATGATTTATGTGGCGCATATCTACGTGGTGCTTCCTTGTACCAATGTTTATGTGTTTAAATAATAAATAATAATTTTTTCGGCAAAATGACGCTATTATGTCGCGAATTTCATTATAATTCTATATTTTTTATTCACTTACAAACATTCTTATTCTTTTCTTTATAAAATATCCAAGCTTTCCAATTTAAGATGTTAAATGTGATGTAATAAATAAAAGTGTATTAATTTTCCTTGATTATATTGAAATAGAAATGGAATTTGATGACATTTTGCATTTGGAATCTATTGAATGGATCAAACTTTGAATAAAGGAAACGAATAATTATTTAAATGTTTATGTTTTAAAGTGAAAATTACACTCTTCTATACAGTACTTAGTTAACAGTTTATTAAAAATATCGTAGATTGGTTGAAGTTAGACATTAACATCGTTTGATGCCGATTCAGTGGTCTAGAGGTTAAGCGTTCACGCGAGACTGATAGGTCCTGAGTTCGAACCTCGCGGTTCGGGATCGTAAATGCGCGCTGCTGAGAAGTCAGACAATAGTGCGAGACGTCCATCCAGTGCTTCCAGATTTTCCATGGTGATTTAGCTTCAATTAACTTATGAATTCAACTATAAAATAGAAAAATGCCTGAAAAAATTTCATATTACACTTTTATTGAAGATTAACACACAGAGAGAATGACCTCACATAGACGTTGAGATCTGATACTAATCATAAACAAGACATTCAAGTATTTTTCAAACTACAGAATTATAAACTATCTATCTAGTTTTATCATGATTGCTCATTCAAATAATTATGAGCATCAAAATGCATTTCTTGAAAGCATAATGAAAAGTTGTGGAATCAACTAGTTGATGTTATAAAGTAGTGATGATACGTTTAGGTTATGGGATGGGAATTATCTTCTTAATTGCTAAAAATAAAAATCCTGGATTGTTTTGAAGGTTTTGTGGTTCTCTGATCTATAGATCTCCTTCACAATCTTAAAATAATATTCAAGTTAGATGATAAAAAACATGAAAGTAACAGGCTTCCTATTCGAAAATAGGAGAATTTCACTAAGAAAGTCGGTTTCCACAAAAACATGATTTTATTTTTACTATAGATGTTTACACAATCTATTTTATTGGCTAAAAAAAATTGGATTAACCCATCCAACAAATTAGAAAGCACAAAACACTTCTAAAATCTTCCGCTCGAGCTAAAAATCTCTGTCATCTCATCATTGTTACATTTCAATTTAACAGCTAATTGTGTATATTGGTTACTATGAGTCGTGGTGCAAATTGCGGTGTTTGAGTCCTGATGTGATGTGCGACCCGTTCTGAAGACCATGTCAGGCGGGTAGTTTGACTGGGGCGGTACATCCGTCAAATGGTAACGCGGGTGTCCTATGGTGAGCTCAGTCAGGACAGAAACCTGGCGTAGAGTAAAAGGGCAAAAGTTTACTTGATTTTTACTTTGGGTTTGTGGATCATCACCAAATTAAAATGAAACAAGATTATATTTCCCTTCCGATTTTGACACATGTATTAGCTGATATCAGTTCACAAAAAAGATACTGGCTTCATGTCAAATGGATTACATAATAACATATATGAATATAACGATAATAATTTTGTTTATTATTCCAAATTCGTATTGATGCAATTAACTGTCGATTTCTAGTCAAGAGTATTGTTTTTCTCAGTGAATTGTAGATTCGTTCAAAAACTCATCTACTCAAATTCTTGGTGTATTTTTTAAGGATATGTTTTTCAATTACATCAGATAACAATGTTTTCCATTCGCTTCAAACACCATCGCGTTATCCACTCAGCTACTAAGTCCCAGAGTGAACATCAAGTCTGAGATGCAGGTACATCCAGCTGACGGGTCCCAAATAGGACGAAACGCGTGTCCTGGATTCCACTGCTAGCCACTATCCATCACTGCTTACAAAAAGCTTGTGAATTACGGCAATATCGAGGCATACGCACAGTATGCACATATGCCAATGACAGACTGATCAATTGCAGTCTTAAAACCTCAATGGGAAGACACAAGCCAAACAATACCAAATGAATTTAGATATGTTATCCATTGTGATGGCTCATTACTTATTTATTTGGACACATAAATATTGGTACAAAGAGGCATTAGATACATATGCACCACACAACTCACTAGATTTATGTGTGGACTGTGATACTGCCCGGGTGTCCAGACCAAAGCAGGTGGTTTTCTTAAAGTGCCACACTTTGAGCCTTCGACCTAGAGGTCTGATCTACAGGGCAGTGAAGCAATGTAAGGAGATGCAATCCCATGATAGCCGGTGACCAACAATTGGTTCATACGCCATTTGTTCCTTCAGGATCCTGGAGTTCATGTCCACCATTGGTTTGTAATCAGGGTTCCCCAACTCCCCTAGGAGGACTCACTGTGTCCATCAACCCGGATAAAGCTCCGGACATTCGCTTTTTGTCCTCTCAATTTCATAAACAACAGCCATACCGAGCGAAGACAGTGGTTAGGACTTCCCTAACAGTGATTGTATACGCGTGGCTGTGTGAGAGTATTTCGAGAGGGCGAGCTGACTTTTCCCACTCTCGGTCGTACCAGGGCATTTGGGAGTTCAACTGATTAATGGAATGTTTAGAATATGATGAAAGGTTTTCGTAGAACAGAATGACTGTAAATTTGCTTCGATCTACTAGAGAATTAAATCTACCATCAATATTAAAAATCTCCAGTTTGAAAATTAGAGGACATCAATGAAAAATATTGTCTTCAGTTAAATCTTTATCCTACTTTTATACACATATATGTGTGTATTAACACATATTGAAGCTCTTCTTATACACATTTCTGCTTGGTGACATATCTTCCCGAATAACTGATATGTCATAGAAATGTACTCGTTTGTTAGATTCTTTCTTAAGAAACAAAATTCTAATGTGCAGTAGTAATCTTTCTTATTTACTAATATATTAATGTACAATAATGAAAACTATGGATTAAGTTTCCCTTCCTGATAGACCTATTTTTTAATATTCCCAAATAAAATCAACTTCTGTTTGACATATTGATGAACCTAAAGTTATTCTATCAATTCATCTTGAATATTGTTGAACACTACATCTCAAATGTGATTTTTTGTGTCTATCCTCAAGCATTCCAATTTTTATTTGTTTTTGTTGTGGATGCGAAAGGATAGACCAATAATTATCATTGTTAAGTCCAATGGTGTCCTTGGACTTTAAATGAACATTTCCTACTGGTCGATATCTATCCACTTGTTGAATATTGTACAAAATGTTGTTTTCTATTTTTATGGTACGATGTGGTATGTTTGGTTAGTATATAAATAGAGTATGCTAGTGAATGATACATAGAACGAAAGCTCGTGTTATGTAGAATAAGATAGGGACAAAAATAAATATAAGTGTTTTACAGGGTTTGAATGAAATGCAATAACGTCCCAAGAAAATAGCTTTCGTAATTGTCTGGGCTTTTTAATTCCCCGTTCATAACAGTTTTTCTAGTGTCTTTTCTTTTATATCAATCCGATCACTTGATTAGCTATTTATTGATCAATCTCAAGGTATTTTCGACTCTTATCCTTATTTGTCATAAGAATTTTTGAAATTTCGTTTTAACAGACAATATTAATGTTGATAAAGATCCTGCTGAAAATAATGTTTTCTTATATGTTTTGTTTTATTACTTAAATTCAAAATGTTTGCTCCTCAAATAATGTAGTGTGATGTGTGCTACAGATGATGAAAGATATAAGTAGTATTCATCATCCGCCGAAAGTGAAACGCCTGGAGGCAGAGGGTTAAGAAGACCGAAGAGCAGAGAACGAGAACAGAGAGTGACCGATACAATCAGATACAATCAAGTCTGTGACAATTGATTGACATTTTGCAAATGAATTATTTACTGTATGGTTCTCAGATTTTACCAAGATATTCTGTAATGTGTTAAAATGCGTAGTCAGTTTCCCTTATATATGTTCTCGTTCACTAATGTGAGGACGGCCCACGGGTGAACTCGAAGAAGCTCAGAAGAAACCGAAAACATTCCATCCAATCATCTTTTGGATGAACATCCCAGCATCGCGACATGTAGTTTCCCTATCGGACAAATGTCAAAAGCCATTGTATGCGGATTGGATGACTGTAATGAAGATTTCATTTTTACTAAAAACTATAAATACTTGGGAGTTTTGTACCACATTTGACACTGTTGGAATAACATTCCTCCCGTCTTCTGTCTTCTCATTTCGCGACCTGATTGGTTCTAGCGTTCGAGTGCTCACGTAGTATGGCGTTATATCAAGAACTTAAGCTCTAGATATAACAACTACACTAGAACTTGAGTTACATTTTAATCAGCAAATAAATAATGGTCAAAAATTAGTCAGAAATCTATTCATTTGTATTCATCATAACCATGCTAAATACAAACTTCACTTCTTAGCCAATTCCATAAAATAATTTTCCACAATTACTTGACTGCTAGCATAGTGCCAATAATTTCGGTAAAACAATTTAAATGATTCATTCAATGTATAATCACGTCATCTCTTTTTTTTATGGTAGTCATAGCTTACTTCTACATTCAACGATTGTCTTTTTCAGATCACTTACACAGAACCAGCAAAACCGGTACCAACAAATCTTCGTGTTGAAGGTGAACGAGATTTTTTAACTACAAATAAAAGTGTTTACACAGTCAAACCAATAACAGGATGTCCTGTACGTAGACTAAAGGTAAATAGTTATTGAATAGTGTTTTATTGTAATAGCACTCAAAGTGTATTAGCATCGCTTACAAGAACTATAATAGGATAAGAGTTTAATAGATACATTACTGTATTTTAAATTTAAACATCTCATTGAATATTATGTAACACTGATAAAAAAAACCCAGTGATGAGTAGACTTTAGTAAGCTTTAAAATTAAAGATTAGACTCTAGAATACGATATGAAATAAGCAACATTTCTTACCATATTATTGAATTATGGCTAAGAATGGAAATCAGGACTATCCTTTCGTCCTATTCGTGACCTAAATCGGCTTCCATGTTTGTAGTGATATTCACAAGTAAATAAACCACAATGTTTATTATGTACACCAAATAAATTAGTATCCATCTGGACTCAATGGCATTTAAAATGATAGGTACAAAAGTCCAATCTAAGTGTGAACATCAATTAGATGGAGATATATCTAGGCAACGTGTTCTTTATAGAATGAAACGCTAGTCTTATATTTCTAAGTCATTCACTGCTTACATTTAATACATACTGAAAAATTCTTTCACAAAACTAGCACAATGAGTTTTCGTTTTTAAAGGAATAATAAAGATTTACAAAGGTTTCATTATAGTTACGTCTTTATTTCGAGAAGAGAAAATACTTCAATTCTTCTTTGTCAGAATAAATACTATCTGTTTCTCTAAATTATTCGTAGCTACTTTTTTAATTTCCTTATCAAACTAATGTATTTCAAAGAATAGTAAGAGTAAAGAACTTAATACTTTCACGGTATCAGTCATAATACTAATTGTTTTTTTTTCTAAATGACAGATATTTTTGCAACATCTAGATCATACTTGGTGTTGTTTACTTGTAACTTCTCATTGTTATTTAGGACTGCAATTGATTAGTCTCTTATTGGTATATATGTATCGCCTTAAGTCACAAGCATTCTAAATAACAATGGGAAGATACAAGTAAACAACACCAAGTGAATTTAAAACTTCACCCCATAAAACAAGTAGGTGGCTATCGGGATTCGGTGGCTAAGTGAAAAACGCGACACCGTTTGAAGCGAACGGTACTGGGTTCGAGGCCCAAAGAGACCATCAACTCTGGAATGCATGTACATTTAACTGACGAGTCCCAAATAGGACGAAGCGCGCGTCATGGATTCCACTGCTAGCCACTATCCATAGTTAGATCATACATTCAGAAAAAGTATTTTCATCAGAGGACTGCACTAAAGATCACAGATGCAAAATGTTAAAATTTATATTTTTTAAATAGTACTGAAGTGCATCATTTATGAGTAAAGTATTAACTCACACAATGACTAGAATCCTGTCAGTCCCTGAATTAATGAAGCAAATTGTGTACAGTTTTTGAATAATGCATTACAGTCAGGAATCATCTTTTATTTTCATACATGCTTACTTAAGCCTGTTACTCCTCCTGAAGAAGCATAGGCCACCTACCAGAATCCACTACCCAACTCTGTCCTGGGCAATCCTTTCCAGTTAATATTCATCCTTTTCATGCCTCCTTCCAATTTCTGACAATGTATTCTCCGGCCTTCCTCTTTTCCCTTTCCCTTCAAGATTCCAAGTTTGGAAATGCCTCGTCATGTAGTTTGATGATTTCCTCATTGTGTGTCTTATCCACTTCCAACGTCTCATCCTAATTTCCTCTTCAGATGAAAGTTGGTTTGTTCTGTTCCGCAATAGGTTGTTACTGATGATATCCGGTCAACTGACAAATGTCTTGCGTAGAAAACTGTTTTTAAACACTTATACTTTTTTGATAATGGTTGTGGTAGTTCTCCAAATTTCATCTCCGTACAGTATAACTATTTTGATATTCGTATTGAAGATTCTGACTTCGATATTGGTTGGCAGTTGTTTTGAGTCCCTTATTTTTTTCAAATATAAGAATGTGGTACTTGCTTTGCCAATCCTCGCCTTTACATCTACATCAGATCCTCCTTGTCCATCGATGATGCTACTCAAATAAATGAAACTTTCAACCTCTTCCAGAGTTTCTCCATCAAGTGAGATTGGTTGGTGTTCGCGGTGTTGAATTTGAAGATCTTGGTTTTTTCTTTGTGTATGTTGAAGCCTATTGATGCAGAGGCTACTGCTACGCTATTTGTCTTGACCTGCATTCCGAGCTATCCATTGTATTTGTATAGTGAGTAATAAAAAACTCTATATTTTGTGTCTATTAGTTGATTAATTGATGTTTTTAGGTGAAAATGTTTCTTCGGAGTTGTAAGTTGATGAGAACATTTTGGAATTTATCCTCTGTCAATATTGGATAAAATTCAACCAGTTTTCCATAGTTTAAGCATTTAATATAACTATTATCACCTTGTAGATTTGTTGGTACTATCTGAAAGAACAGCATTTGTTGCGCTCATTATTAACATAGATTGAAACAGTTAGTTAAAAACAATTGTCTTCTGGGAAATACCTCTTTCTTATCACATTCCAGATGTGATCATTTCCTTCCATAATATCATGAAATGAGAGTAGGAAAACTATGCAAATTGATTAGACAGCAAGGTTAGCTTGGTGTATAACATCTTTTCAACAAGGTTCATGTGTAAAATCATCTCATAATTTTCTATTTAGTTCATGCGGTCTACCATCTGAATAGAGAGTATATCATACTATATTAAAATAATTTCAAACTACCTCAATTCTTTCATACATACGTTTATAAATAATCTAAATGGTTGAACAGAATTGGATGCTAAGGGTTAACTTTCCTGCTCCTACTTTAGGCTATTTGTTTATTATTTCTTCCAGAGACTTGGTCTTCTTCTATTGAAGTCACTATCCATTTGTGCTGGTTGTTTGAATCTTCTCATTGATGTCTAGGACCCCTATTAACCAGTCTCTTTCGTCATATGTGCATCCTGTGGATTGTCTCGAAATTGTCTCATCCCAAAAGCATTATAAGCAGGGATGGGTAGCTCCTAATATTGAAATCCAGGACTCCCGATCTGTCCTATTTAAGGCTCGCCAACTTTATGTACCTGGATCACGCAGTTGATGTCTAATACGAGATTCGAACCCAATACCGTTCTTCTCAAACTCTATGTCCTTATCCACGTGGCATCTCCGTTTAAAATCAACGGTGCTGGGTTCGAGTCCCGGAGTGAACATCAACTCTGGGATCTAGGTACATCCAGCTAATGAGTCCCAACTAGAACGAGACGCACACTCTGGATTCCACTGTTAGCCACCACCCATTTCTGCTTATATAAAGAAACCATTTTAATTTAAATTTATTAATGACATAGAGGATCGACTGTCAGTTATTTTTTGAATAAGTTGAGTGTAAAACGGAAACCATAATATTTAATTCTAAGAATTCATCTGTTCAACTGTAAATTTAAACAACCAATTGTATACTTAACTTGTTTAATAATATCACCGGCAAATAACTCTTTTTTCCCAATATTTAAGGTGCCAAGTATTCCAAAACCACGTGTTAGCGAACCGTTTTCTGGTGAAACTCAATTTCGTGCAGATTTTCCCCCAGAACGTGCATGGAATAGTGTTGATCCAATGAGCTCAATTGTACCACAACCATGTCAACCGCCCAAAGCACAAATTCAATTGCGCGACACAAATGAGATATCTTTTCATACAGAACAGCGTGATCAATTTCAAGGTCATGATGCTAAGGTTAGTCAGTCCACTAACGTTTCCAAATATTACGTTTATCTTCTAAATTGAAGATAACTTGTTGGAATTACTGTATCCAACTGGATTCGTTTAATGAATTACATTTATTCAAAATCTTGAGATTAACCATTGACAATTTAATGAATATGTCAACTTGCAAAAAATATATCACCTTCATCTTATTAAAACTGTTTTATTAACTTGTGTCAAAACTACCATACATTCAGATGTTGATCTAGTGCTCTGATTTGAAACGATCAATGAGACTATAAGTTATGGACGAACCAATCAGATATAAGATAACAGGTCTTGGATGTTCATTCATCCATTTGGATAAACAGAGTTTTGGCATTTAAGCTGATGTCAGTTCTTGATGAAAACCTTTGATCTAATTCCTAATCCTGACCATCAACCGTAAATCATAATCTTTATCCTTCACACGGGTTTATAACCTTCATTTAACTCTAATAAGTAGGTGGACATTCTCAATGTCACTTTAGAGTCACTCAAAGGTCGTCCATAAATCATAATTTCACCGCGAATTCGATTAATATGTGGTGTACATTCATCAATGTCCATTAAAGTTATTTTCCATTTAATGACCGCTATCTATCTTATACTCTGGAAGATTCACAGTTTCTAATATGTTTGACTAATTAATTATTAATGTAATTAGACTTTTACTATTCTTATAATGTAATTTAGATTTTATTAATGAAGATCAAATAAACACATTAAGATTACTTCTACTGACTAAGGTCGAACATTTCGTAAAAAACAATTGGTAAAGTCGATCAAACAGGGAAAAAGATATATAACATATCGAACGGTAACTCGAGGATAGGTAAAATGAGTAAATAAACAAGGCATAGTTATGCATGGTCAAAGAGTCAATGTATTGGTGGACGTTTAATACTGTAATTGTTGGATCCGTTTTTTCGATCATTATCCCATCCCATTGTCTCTTAATCTCAACAATTACATTATCAAGTGATGAAAGGAAACTATCGAAGTGGGTTCATTTCAATCTAGAGGAAGTGAATTTTAATAGTGTATTTCTCAACATTTGATTTTTGCGTCGGATAATAGAAGCAGATATGAAAACGATGAATTACAACTGGACGGAGCTAGAAAGGACTGCCCAGGACAGGGTTGGATGGAGAATGCTGGTGAGCGGCCTATGCTCCTTCATGATGAGTAACAGGCGTAACTAGCTACTAGCAACATTTGATTTATGGCATCCAATTAGCGTTATGGAAAGGCATTATTATCAATGGATACTTCAAAAGTTGTCATATAGGATTTTCAATAAATGTCATCTTCATTGTTACCTAATCAATTGATAAAATTAAGAATAAATCCTAAATGTTATTTGACCTTCTAAATACTTAGTTTACATTACAATCAATGAATCACTAGATCGTTGTTTCATTTAAGTATGGAACTCTTTAACAGTGTCCATTCATAACCTTAAGGAAGATTGGTGGTCAATTGATGATGTAAACTACAAAACTTAGTAATCTCTGCAAATCTCCATACTAGAAAATAATGTCTTATCTTCGATTATTGTCTTGGGATTGACTAGTGATATGAAACAAAAAATACTCACTTCAAACTAATATTCATGAATAGAAAGAAGTGCTTTTATATGCAATCAAAATTATCTCTAAACACTATGGAACTAATGTAACGTATTCATGAGAATATTTTTTCTCACTCTGTGGTTTAAGTGCGCTAATGTAATAATATGATAATAAGACTGATCTAGCTGACCAAATTTATAATACCACTAGATTGAAAACTCGAACGGTACACAATAATGAGATTAGATTATGTTATATCAGATATACGATTTATGACTAAGAATAGAGAAGAAACGTAACGCTAGAGTACTTTATTCTACACAGTCACAAGTAGCCCGGAGTATAAATCAGTAACGGAAAAGAAAATTACGAATTTATGGTCAGTAAGTTGTGTGCCTGTTTATCCACAATCACAAATAAGGAACATTCTCCAATTATTTAGTTGAGTTACATTACCCGAATGTTCCACAAAAAACATCAGTTATCTTGGAATTAGTTCATTTCATAGATGGAAATTACCTAGAAAACTGATGAAAGTTACCAAGTTTGTCTTAGTATGAAACTCTTCGATAGATCACGTGCATAATTCCACATGAAATCACACTTATGACCTTCAGAAATTGCTGTAATCATAATACCGTGAAAGTGATGAACCATACTTTCCAACTTTAGCTATTCAGAGTTATCAGTATCTATATTCAAAATGAAAATAACTCTTCAAACAAACTAAATAATCGTCTCTTCACTACTGAAAGTTTTTGAGCTGATTTTCTTATATCCTAGTGAGCTGCTTTGATCTGTGCATGGTCAATTGTGTCAGAAATTAGGAAGTTACTTATCTATGTTATTGAATTATGTCTACTGTCCTCTCTAGATTACTCATGCATATTACTTAATAACTAATATCAATGGAATGAAATATGCATGTTTTGAACTACCTAAACTATGATAAGAAATTATTTCACCAAATGAAAGGTACATAATTTAGCTCAGTAGCCTAATAATAGGTTATATGGCGTTAAAAGTTAGTTTTGATCTCTCTTATTCAAAACCCCTACCACATAGCCTATATCAGACATATGTAAAGGGATACAAAATTTTGTGATAATTACAAGTTAAAATTATCAAAATACCCAAATCAATTATTCAATCAAAATAAGTTAATAAAGAACTCCAATCCGTAATTAGCTTTTTTTTCTTAATCGAACTCATTTCTTTTTCTTTTATAACAACAGACTAATCCAAAACCGAAATCATTCAAACATGAACCATCGGTTTATACCAAACCAGCTATTAAACTTGATTGTAATTCAGTGACGAAATTGGATTTCCAACCATATACAACTGAACAAATACTTAGTGTGAACGCAAAGGTAAACATCAATATTTCTTTCAAGTTCTTATATTTATTTGGAATTTTGTTTTAGTTCCCTCACATTTCTGTAAATGATTCCTAACGTTTTCTTTTTTTAGTATAATGGGTTTGTGTAGAATATTAGACTTTCATAATTCATACCACAGACTGATTGTAGTTAGACAATTATTAGAAATTTACAGTCACTAAACAGCCGTTTCGTCCCACTTTTAGAGTCCTCAGTAGCGCGCATTCACAGCCCCGCAACCAGGAGTTGAACCCAGGATTCTGGATTTCGCGTGTGCCGAGAGCCGATGATGTACAAGTTCGACTTTAGTAAATCCAGGAGGTATGTAACACTGCACCCTGGATTAAGCAATCGCGCGCAAGGTCTCAATTCCTGGGTTCTACTCTTGGTTGTGGCGTCATGGGTGTTAACTTCTGAGATGTCTCATGCTGGGACGTAATAGGCTTCTGATCTTTACTAATATCCAATAACTGACCAACTTCGATTGCATTATGATCCCAATAAAACCAATACATTTACTCTTCGATAATGATTTTACATAAGCTAGCATCCATTGTTTTACGATTAATATGAGTAATATCGGTCCACGTTATAAATAATTAGTTCATTCTAGCTATGTTTTTGCTTCCAGATGCATCACTTTATTTTTAAATTAATTTCGACAGATTACAAGGATTGTTTGCTTATTTTGTGTCACTTGTTCCTATTGTTTTAGTCTACTTTCGGTCGAAAAATAATGAATAATGATGACAATGGTGTACAACAATCTGGAAAAATGAAACCTGAGGAATTAAAACTACTGAAAAACTATTTAAAAGGTTTAAAATCAGCGAAAAATCAACAATTACCTAAAATGTAGAATAATTAATTTCTTATTGAAAACAAAGTTATATCTGATGCTAATTAGTTGATTTGTTAATTTTCTCTACCTATCTTTTGCTGCTTATTTAGCAGATTCATCAGGATCCCATGTTGGCAAATTATAACGAAATATGAGTCTATTTGAAGTAACATATATATTTGGGGAGAGTAGCGTTTTCCTCAAACAGAGATCATTTTGAGCAGTATTTTCCAAAAGATAAAAAATAAGGAAGAATATAGGAAGGGTAACATTTCATATGTGATACTGTATAAAGAATAAGTTCGAGAACATTTGAGTCACGAGTAAAAATTAAAGTTTTCCACCCACTTCGTCTCTATTCAATTTTAGGTACAGCAATGTCTACAGAGTGTAGTCCGGATAAGCACCATTATCGAGATACAAACCTAAACATTTAATTTGTTAGCTAACTATCGTCGAGCAAAGTCAGCCTGTAGCTCTTCTAGGGTTAATGTCGCTCCCGAACCCGGTTGAAAGAGTAGGTTTGAGCATGAGGTCAGCAACCCCATCCCATAGAAAACGATCTTGCTGAAAAACACTGACCAGAAAAATAATTTTAACTCTGCCGTTGGAGCCGAATTATTTTCATTAGGGAGAACAAGGACGTCTAATGGTGAAAGCGGAGATTCTTCAAGAGTTGCGACGACGATGCCTCTAACAACCAGAGCAACAACGAATATATGTACATGGAATGTCCAGATAAAGTTTAGACCGTGATGGCCAAATAAATAGCTGGGTAAATGAGGAAATGTAACTTGGTCATGTTCCAAATAAGTGGAACTCAAGCTAGATAGAAGAGATTAGATAAGGGATAAATGCTGTTGTACCCTTTTCATCAAGAAGAATGTTACTTTACACACCAAGGAGTTTGCTCTGATTATTACAGGAGAAGTGAAAACATCTCAGTGATTAGAAACTGTTATATTGCACATTAATAATTTCACTGCGTTTTTGGGTGTATTTGTTTTACTCAACTTCTGAACTAGTTTGTTTATATCTATGCATTCGGGCATTTTCGGTTTGTCTTTGTTATGGTACTTGGAAGTTTTTGCTCCTGGTACTTTAAAAATTGAAAATATTTGGGTCGATTATTTGCGATTCGCAAATAAAATTTGGTGTCTGAACTGGAGTTTGGTTCTGTTGTTATTTTGGGTTCGTAAGTTTCAAGTCAATTGACATACAGTACTTCAACAACGGAAGAGAACAAAAACCTGGACGTAACACTAATTTTGTTCAGGGAGACACGTAAGGCACTTACAAGATCGGAATCATATGTATCAAATCAGTCTTCGAAACAAATGAAGGAGGGAATCACAATGAGTGTTATATAATGTTATGCACCCACCAATAACGACGATAATGATCAGTTCTATGAGGGGCTGCAATCGATCATAGCGAGATGCCCAGGAGAAGACCTGATCATCCTGATGGGAGGCCTAAACACCAAGAACAATACTGAATATGAAGATATCACGGTACGACATGAACTGACTAGGCGAAAGGAAAGTGGTGAGAGATTAGCATATTTTCGTGTATACAACAAATTGATTATAAGCGGCACAATATTTTCACACAAGCGCATACACATAGCTACATGAGTTTCACCGGGTCACACCACGGAGAACCAGATGGATCATATTTACATCAGTGAAAAAATCACAAGGTCAGTGGCGTGCACGAGAACCAGGAGAGGAACTGACTTAACTCCAGATCACCACCAACTTGTGGTTGCTGTGATAAAATTGAAGCTAAATAAACACTGGAAAACTGGAGGAACAGCATCACAAAGGTTCAATTTAGCCTTCCTATGAGATACTGAAAAGCCCGACAAAATTTAACAGCCCTGAACAACAGGTTCCAAGCCCAACAAAATCTACTTGAAGAAGAAGAAACCATTGTGAAAGACAATAGGAAAGGGACCAATGAAGCACTAACTTCAACTTGTCAGGAGATTCTGTGCATCAGCAAGCATCATTATAAAGAATGAGTGTCCATCGAAAAACTGGATAAGATTCAAAGAGGGGAGAACAAGAATACAGCAATTAGCAACAACTAATCGAGAACTGGGAATGTCAAAGTATAAGCTGCATAAATAGAAGCAAATAAGCAAGTAAAGATGAGAAATAGTGCTAACCAGCAGACATACATGTAAGATCTAGCAATGATAGCAGAAAAAAACTAGAAAAGAGATATGAGATTACTATATGAAACAACGAAGAAACTAGCGAGGAAATATAATAAATCAGAGAGACCGGTCACGGACAAAGAAGGTAGGCAATCACTGACATTTAAGGGCCGAGGAATGGATGGATAGAACAGCTCGAGGAACCCTGAAATAGACCAGTTCTATTGAATCCACCGGATATCAAAGCAGCACCTACAGATCTTCCCATAGATGCCACTCCACCAACGATCGAGGAGACCAGGATGGCCGTCGGACAAATCAGCAGTTGCAAAACAGAGAAACCTGACAATATAAAAGCTGAAGCCAGACAAAAAGCGACTGTAACTATGCTCTGCGTTCTATTCAGAATACCCCATCAAAATACTGTGGAAGAGAGATGTGAGCAAACATGTGAACCAAAGAGGCATCACACTATTATAACAACCAAAAAGATTATCCAACAGAGTCTTACTGAACTGGATGAAAGACTCAAAAGACGTCCGGCCTTGAAATCAAAAGGCTGGGTCGTGTGCAGACAGAATCGCTACACTACGGATCGTCGTTGAATAATCATTTGGATGGAACTCGTCACCATACGTCAACTTCGTTTATTATGAGAAAGCATTTGACAGTGTGTATAGGAGAACATTATGGAAACTTCTCCGACACTATGGAGTACCTGAGAAAGTCGTCAACATCATCCGGAATTAATACGATGGACTACACTAAAAAATGGCGCATAAAGTACACCTGAGGAATGGATTCAGACAAGGCTGCCTACGCACCCCCTTGCTCTTTCTTCTGTGGGCCGACTGGATTATGAGGACCTCGACATTTGGTGTGGAAAATGAAATAAATGAACAATCGGAATGCAGCTAGACGTATTGAATTTCGCGGAATAAATGGCCCATCTATCTTAAAATAACCAGTGTAACAGTAGTCTCTTCACCGCTAGGCCTCAACATACACAACAGAAAAATCAAGATCCTCAAATTCAACAAAGAGAACACCCACCCCATCTCACTTGAGGGAGAAACTCTGGAAGAGGTGGAAAATTCCACTTATCTGGGTAGCATTGTCGATGAACATGGGAGATTTGATGCAGACGTAAAGGTGATGATTAGCACCTCTACATTTGAAGAACATATTGAACTTAAAACAAGTGCCAACCAATGTGAAAGTAAGGATACGAATGTCAAGATGATTATATTGTACGGAGATGAAACGTGGAGAACTAATACAACCATCATCAGAAAGGTACAAGTATTTATAAAAAATTGTCAATGCAATATACTGAATGTCCGTTAGCCGGATACCGTCACTAACAGCCTACCATGGGAGAGAATAGACCAACTTCCATCTAAAGAGGAAATTGGGAAAAGATGTTGGGAATAGATAGGACATACATAAAGGAAATCATCGAACCGCATCACCAGGTAATCCCCATCTAGTAATTTTCAAGGGAAAAAAGAAAATAAGAGACAAAGGGACACGATGAGTCGGGAATTGAAAGCAAACGTGAAACGCATGAATAACAACTGGTACGGATTATTCAGAACAGAGTTCAATGGTGAACTCTGGTGGTTGGCCTATTCTCCCTCTTAAGGGTCGTAAGGTGCTATTTAGTAAGTAAACGACCGTCAAGCACAATTAAATATCAAAATTTCATCCAGCTACCAAATAGGAGAGGAATATCAACAATGAGGTTTTTACGATATGTGATACCGTTTTAATCCTGCTATCATTGCAAACTGCTTCATATCACACAATGCCAAAAGCCAGTGAAAAGATCGTTGAAGATAGAAGTTCTCTTTAATCCCTTGAAAGTGCAAAACACCTATTTAAATTGCCAAATTTTAGCTAGTCTACATGTGTTTAATGAATCCCCCTGAAAATGTAGAGTTTTATTTTGAGACTATAGTATGTCTGACTAATATTTTCTTACTTTTATGCCGCCAAATGACACCATCTGTGTATTGTTCGAGGAAACAACTCCATTTGATAAGGCGTTACTCAATACTTATAGTCAGAAAAAATCAGGCTAAAGACAATTCATGACTTGGTTAAGTGTTACACACACATATGCTTACATAAAAACACTCAGGGTTATATATGAATAAGCGACAACATCAAAATTTGATCGAGTAAATTGCTCCATGGCTTAGTGGTGTTGACTTGGTTACTAATCCTCCCGCTTGCTACAATGAATACATTCTTTCACTTGGTATAGTTTATCTGAATCTTCCCATTGATGATTAAGACTGCAGTTGATCAGTCTCTTATCGGAATACGTGCATACGCCACGATATTGCTTTAGTTCACAGGCATTATAAGTGAAGATGGATAGTGGCCAGCAGTAGAATACAGGACACTCGTTTCGTCCTATTTAGGACTCGTCAGCTGGATGTAATTGCTTTTCAAAGTTGGTGTTCACTCTGGGACTCGAATCCAGTACAATTCACTTCAAACGACATCGCGTTATTCACTCAGCTGCTAAGACCTGATAGTCACCTGCTTGTGCTACGGGGCGAAGTTTAGATTCATCTGGTATTGTTTACCCAAATCTTCCCGTTGCTTATAATGCTTATGAATTAGGGCAATATCGAGGCAATCCGCACAGACTGTAGATATGCCAATAACATACTGATCATTCGCAGTCCCACAAATCTCTTAAACATCGATCAACAGAATACAAAGAACGGGAGATCGCCCGAAATATTCTCATAGTGAGAACTGTGTATGGCTAGGTATAGTTCAAAAACAGCCGCTTTCTGGTTCAGAAAAATATTTGTGCAATGATCCCGGTATATAGTCCCGGCCAATATGTTGGTCAACTCCGCCTGTAGCTCTTCTAGAGTTACTGCCGGTCCCAAGCTCGGGTAAAGGAGGAGGGTTGGGCATGCGGTTAGCGTCCCCATCCCGTAGAAAACTAACTCGCTAAAAAAACGCTTACTGGAAAAAATAATTCAAACTATTTTAACTCTGCCCTGGGAGTTAGGAGGTCATCATTCAATAGGTTGATCCAACAATTACGTTAACTACACCCGTTAGCATAGCTTAAAAAATCTTTTAACCTATCCCTTTAAAACATATCGATACACAACATTCTGCTTGCTATATAAGTTCCAATTTACCAAGGAAGACAAATTATATCAAAAGTAAAAGACAAATTTCACTAATAAAAGCGTAGACAAAGAAGAGTTGGAAGTATAGAACATGGTTACACATGTCCTGGTCAAACGTTTATAGACCAGGCAGAGTGAAAGAGCGAAGAAGTCATAAGTTTGATAAAATAAAACACATGAGGGATTTACAGATTTTTCATTCGGTTATATCTATTTATTTGATGAAAAAATGTCACAGAGTGGGATGGTGATGGAATTCTGAGGCTACTGAAAGACAGTCTGAAACGTTTAATCACGTACAGTTAGATTTTTGTGTAGTGGCTTTCTCACTCTATACAGTAATAAACAACATATTCAGCAAATGGTACCAATTATAACATTCCATACAGATTTAATGGACTGTTGATGTGTTTAGTAAGTCGCTCATCTTGAGTTAGCGTCATTTACAGATTACTGAGGTATTCACCATTTTATTTTCCATCAGATTTTCTCAGGTTCTTGAAGTGTGATATGCACATGAAGTTCATTTTGACTTCATTAACACAATGAGAAAACATCTATGTTTTAATAATTTCCTTGGGTAAAGATTCTTTTAACCAAAATATACACTTTGATCTGACTCAAGTGTGTGAAATATCATCTGTTACAAACACTGTTTTTGGACTGAAAAAGCCATATAATGTCGCAACCTAGACCCAATGTCTTTTTTTACTAAACCTTATTGTGAGTAATTCAGACAATTTATGAACGACAATGACTCATTTTGATGGTTCCAGATAATCATCAGCACTTAATAATGTCTATTTTAAACACCTGAGTGTGTGCAGCATGTCGTCATTTGTTAGGTTCAGCTTGTTAAACATTATCATACGCTATCTGTTCATGAATGTCGTTCCTGCTTCTCCTTAGTGTTCTCTGCGTTTTCCGGAGAATCCCGTGCTCTGTGCATTCGTTGAACTGTCACTGGAATGGAAGATGTGCCAGAGTTTGGTCAGTGACTTGACTTATTTTTTGACTTCGTGACTTCGACGCCGAAGTCGTCTTATTGACTCTGTTCCTCATATTGTTACGGAACGGTTTTATGGTTTACCTATTTGTTTAGTGCATGAAATAATCATCTTCCCTTAACGTTAGAATTCCTTTCGGATTTATTTTGTTTTGGAATCAACCAAACCACTTCCTGGTGATGTCATTGTTGCTGGTATCCAAAAACCCTGCTGCTCTGAAACAAACACTATTAGATTACAAGATGCACAGACCCACGAAAAGTCATAAAAATAAACAGAACTGGTTGAGTTAATGGACAAGACCATCACCCATTGGAGCATGTCAAAGATCTTGAACCATACAGAAATACCAAGGCACGGACGTGACAAAATCATATGCCTTAAACAAACTCGTAACAAACATATTAGTCTTTGGATATTGAAAATGATGCATCTGATCTAACGTTACCGTTTGAAGCACGCCACTCAAGAAATATTTGAGTCTTTCTTAGTCACATCGGTAAAATGGTACTCTGTTCAATTTTGACGAATCAACTCCAGTCAGCATGAGTAGGGTACTGAAATTTACCATAAAATTCAAGTCTATACTTAGTGAATAAAATGATGAAGAGGCTTATTCACTCTGTCAAAATACCTTATGCGAACTACAATTCAACTTACTATCGTTTATACAACTAACAATAAGAGACACGTTGTTTTGTTTTAATATATCAATAGTGTAAACAACCAGGATTCGCTCTTCTGTCGTATTTTCGAAATGTGTCAGACAAATGATTATATACAACTAAAAATTACCTAGTGAACTAATGGGATTAAATAATTACGAGCAAAAAGATTTGTTAAGGCGTATTAAAGAATGGAATGCTACGAGACTGGATTTATTTAAAATTTCGGAACCTAATAAGGCAAGTCTATTGAAGTTCTTCTTATTTATTCATATATCCTTATATCTTAATATAAAATCCGTCCATAGTTGATTGTCACTTTTAAAATTTCACAATCAACCTATCTCGCGTGATACAAAGCGTGAATATGGTGAATCTATATTTTCTGCGTTTGATTTTAACTGTCACTGGTCGTCGATAATGAAGCGTAGTAGCATAAGATGATCTGCATTCCTTTCAAATCCGATTCTAAAAGGTGTTCTATAAATTTTCAATAGTTTGAATCATCCTGCGAAAACTAGTGGTTATTTTTCAAGCCTCGGGTGTCATAAGACTGCTTCATCAATTCCAAATATATGGGTTACATTAAAGTTTTTTCATTTCTTATCTATCAATGTTTTGTTTTAAAAAAAAGCTTTTCTGATTCTTGCGGTAATCTGTATGCTTTTACATTGATAATATTAAGCATAGTAAGTCATCTACTTAATTCTTCTCTTTAATAAAATCATTAAACGTCATATACTTTCAAACATCCACGATTTAAAGTCACTTCAAAATGATCCTTTATTCTTGTTTGATTTCACACAAAATTCGCAAGTGGCTTGCACCTTTAGCAGTGTCGATTGAAGAAGCTGAACGATAAAAATATTCAACACCATTGATTCTACGTTCGTAAATACACTCGATGTACAAGTAATTTGACAGTGACTTGCTACTAAATACATCCAATTAATTTCGTCGTTTCGAAAATAGTCTTACGTACAAAACCAGTTTACTTCCTTCTAAGAAGGACTCAGGTTCACATCAGTGGATTGGTTTGACTTCAGTGGTTTTTATCTGTTTATCTTAGATACAGCCGACTCGTTGTTAAACATCCTTGATTGTGGCTTGATTCTGAAGATAGAACAAACATACTAATGTTTCACTAGTACCTACAGAAATAAGAAAACTGGACTACAGTACAATCGCCACTCCAGTATCTTGTTGCACGTTTCACATCCGCATAAAATTTGGTATCACTTTAGATAGATTTTGTTTGAAATGATATCATTCAAGGTTTAGGTTATATTTTGTCTAAAAAAACACTTTATTAGTAGTTGCTTAACAGTAGGTATGCGGTTAAAAAAATCAACCTTTCTGATTTTCGGTCAAACAGTCGAAAATGATCGACGTCAGTTATCTATAACACAAGTTTCGTTATGTAGGTTTATCCATTTTATAACGTGAGTAGTGGATAGGTCTTTCTGTTACATATAAAGTAATTGAACTTTCCTGGATTTTGATGCTATAAATCTGTCAGAACACCTCTTCACCTTCTTCATTAGGATTGTATCAATAAAACTGGATTTGTTCTTTTGTATTTTATATATTTTGTATCTCCACTTTTATCATGAAGAAAATGAACTATTTGGCTAACTAACGTTCTACAATAAACCTTGTTCTTTGAAACCAACAAGATAATCTTGCCAAATGTAAATAGTGATGGCAAGTTTGTCGACGCTTTCTAAAATTAGACACATTTTTAATGTGGAATTTTATGAAAATTCGACACTATAAAGGTAGATTATCTTAGATCGAATAGGTTAACAATCATTTTCTGGACTTATAAATGCAAGCTTAAAACGAGTACTAAAGGTGCAGAACAAACATAATCCATGATGGTGAGTCTCAAATAACAACGCCTTGGCACATTTTGAACTGTTAGAAATTAGTTCATTCTTTACCTCTTTCTTTAATAATTGACCAATAATCACTATTATTTTAAACTCTTCAATTATGTCTGTTTTATTTACACATTTTCTCTATAAGGATTTCTTATTTCGTTTGCTGTAGCACATTTAAGTTAACAATATCTAGGCATTGACTAAAAAGCCACTTTTAAGCAACATGAAAGCTAACCGAAATGTGCACTAAAGCAAACTATCATACTTGAAATTCAAAAGATGTACGGTAACTATCAATATAGGGATCAAAGTAACCAAAGTAATAACCGTATCCATAATTTTGTATACTAAATATGAGAAATTCTTTTGAGAAAGAACTTATAAAATAAAAGAATAAGAAGAAATGATATGTACTTCAAGGTTTAGAGAATAATAAAGGGTGATTATGATTATTTTCCTAATACTTAACAGGTAGTCTTCACTTTTTGCTAGTGCCTGAACCAACAGTAAGTTGCTTTATGAAGTGACTTTTAGTATTAATTTGTTCATATTTAGCTCCAAACATTGTTTCCGTAGTTTTTAAATCAATACTAAAGTTCCATGTTCTCAACTAGATCTAGTCATCCACCAAACAATTTAGACTAGTCAGGCAGTAAAGCAGTGATATACTGGAGTTCTTCATTCCATATAGTTAAATTAAGAGCTGGTGCCGTCCATACATAAAACAACATTTTCGGCTCTAATTGAGTCACAAAATCCGTCGCTAGGATATCCTTACCTGAATCTTATGCCTTTAAATACTTTTTAACTTGCTTGACTTATATATTTCATTTTTCGTTTCTGATTTATGCTTCCTATGTTCATTTTTGTGACTGTAATAAACAGCTGTTAAAAATACTGCTTCAATATGCGTCATCTTTTATAGTGAAGGAGTTGGGTTAGTGTTCGGCGCGTCTGGATTTCTGCAACTAAGTCACCGGCTCTAACCTTACTCCACTTAGCTCAGTTTGAGGTAAATACACGAATATGTTCTCAACAAGCGAGTTAAGATGCATTTTGCATGCAAAGTTGAGTTGATTCACACTCGTACTTAACTCCTATGTTAGTCACGACTGAACTAGAATAAAATAAGCTGTTAATTCCAAACTTTAAATGAAACACATTAGTTATTTGTTTCATACTGCTGTAAATCTGAGACGTTTTGCTACCATAGGCTAATTTATTCTTTAGTCCGGAGAAGTTTTTAAAGATTATTAAATCTTATGATTTGTAGTCCGAACCGAGCTTAGACAACTAATGACGTTAAGAGACACTAAAAAGCCACTTTGTTTTAGTATGGAACTCCTCAGGCATTCCCATTTATAACCCTACCAAAAACCGAACACATGATTTTCAAGCTTTATAGAGAGTGCTCAACCTTATGACTATTAAACTGAGTATATTTAGTTTTGTCTTGATATTTTATCCCATAATTGATAACTGGTGAAAGGGATTCAGTCAGAACGTAGATAGTAATCGTCACACCTTAGTATTTATTTCCGTCGTGCTTCTCATCTTCAATTGCTAGCTAACGTGAATTTAAAAATTACTGGGTTCGGTAACCATTTAACTTCGAACCATTTACTTTTATTTAAATTATCCAGCTTCATTTCCTTTTGACAAACATACTAAAGTGTGGTATAAGTCACTGATAAATGCCACTGGAATATGGATGCGCAACGTTGTAATGTTATTGTAGTTTGAAATATAAACGACTGAATGGTTTTAACTCACTATCTCACTGATAACAGATATTTTGTATAACTCAGTAATTTCTTTATTAAGATTCTGATAGAGTAAAACTGTGATAGGACTACTTCACATCTAGTGTGATAGGATTTTGATGATATTATTATGGAAATTAAGTTTGACAGCTGATATTGACTACGGCAGATTGTATGCAACAAGTGTTAAAAAGTTTAGAAAAATGTAGTCGTTAGTGTAATCAGACATCCGATATCGTGGCCCAGTGTTTTTTTAATATTAGGTGGTTGGAATTCAGTCAACGTTTCATGCTACTTTATGTGTTATCAGTCTTGAAGTAACCGAAACTTTTTATAGGATTTAAACCCTCCTTATTTATTACCAACGAACTTCGTTTAACAAAATGTAACTCAATATAAAATTACATAGACCAGTAATTATGCCGCAACTTAATCAATGGATTCTGATTAACGTTAAGGCCTAGATAAATATGACACTTGTTGATATATAGTCGTCATCCAATGTTCATTTCTCAGTATTTCTGGCGACCAGTGTTAGGGTACGCAGCTATGAAATACAGTGACGAGATTTACAATCACACTACTTAAATCACTGTATCACATATCTTTTTTTTATTAATTAAATTAGATTGCTTTAGTTTTTTTGAAAGTTACATTTATACAAAGTAGTAAATTATCAAATCTCACTGTGCTTTAAGTATAGAATATATGAATTGTAGCTACCAGTATAATCCAGGATACTTATTTCTTCCTATAAGGGACTTGTCACCAGGATGTACCTTCATCATAGGGTTGATATTCATATTACGGCTTCAACGCATTGCCGTTTAAAAGTTTAAGACAAAGTGACTATATCAAGGCAATCGTCATAGCTAATAGAGGCTTGTCAAAAACTAATTCTTAAATATTAACAACGGAATAATTTAAACATTCACTGGCAGTGATTTATACTTTGAATACTTTGTAAAACTTATTATTGAAATCTTGGATGTCTTATTCTTAGTGATGCTCGGTTTTGCAAATTTTAATCAACTTACATTTTCTCATCATCAGTCAATTCAGATAGTATCATTAATAGACATGGATAGATAAATCAAAAGCTTTCACAATAAAGTGATCTTATCTGTGATCTGAACAAACATTTGGTGTTCATTTATGTATTTCAAAATATACGGACAAATGTTTGATATTAAAATGAATGGCGCCAAAAAAGTTTCATTCTTCGTTTTTAACAAATTCAACATATCTTTCTGGTATCATTTAATCCCATTTTTTAAACTGGTATGTTATACCATAGGTTCTAAAACCTTTGGATAACAATGAAATATTGATTTAAAAATATTCTCAATAGTTCATTCTTTGATGTTATAACATTGTTCATTGTTTTGTTACAAGTATTGGTCAATACTTGCTAAATCCATATTTTTATCAGAATAGGAATTTACGGAAATTGTAGTAATTTAATAGTTGAATTCATGAGTTGATTAAAGCTAGATCACCATGGAAAACCTGGAAACACTGAACGGCCGTTCCGTCTTAGTAAGGGACTCCTCAGTAGTGCTCATCCACGATCCCACACGTCAGACTCGAACTC